CTGTCGGGGTCCCCCCCCAGGCTGTCGGGGTCCCCCCCGGGCTGTCGGGGTCCCCCCCCCAGGCTGTCCCGGTCCCCCCCCGGGCTGTCCCGGTCCCCCCCCGGGCTGTCCCGGTCTCCCCCGGGCTGTCCCGGTCCCCCCCCGGGCTGTCCCGGTCTCCCCCCCGGGCTGTCCCGGTCCCCCCCGGGCTGTCGGGGTCCCCCCCGGGCTGTCCCGGTCCCCCCCCCGGGCTGTCGGGGTCCCCCCCGGGCTGTCCCGGTCCCCCCCGGGCTGTCGGGGTCCCCCCCGGGCTGTCCCGGTCCCCCCCGGGCTGTCGGGGTCCCCCCCGGGCTGTCCCGGTCCCCCCGGTCCCCGCGGCGGGCGGTGGCGCGGCCCGGCGGCGCCCCCTGGCGGGCCGCGGCGGCACCTGCCCTCGGCCGGCCCCGGCCCCGCTCCGCCGCAGCCGCTCCCGCCCTCGCTCCCGCCTGGCTCGTTGCTTCATCAAAGTCACTCGGTAGACACAGATTGTCTGCCCTCTCGTAGGACCCTCAGCATGCCGAGACTTGAAGGAAATTATTAGTTTTTAGTTGATTGAATAAACAGCATTAACCAACTTGTGTGCTGTGGCGGCAGGGGGCAGGAATGTTTAGAGCTGCTGTGCTGAATCCCTGCTTAAGGAACTGAGCTTCGTTTTCCCTTTTCACCTAGTGTTAAAATTTCTTAACCGCTGAAGGTATTTCCTGTGTCTTTTAATTTGTGGCCTTCTTGCCTTGAGTGGTGCGAGGTGCCTCCGAATTGGAGCTTGTGTGCGGTAGCCGGTCCCCTGTGGCACGGAGCCGAGGTAACGCTGCGCGGCTCACGGCACCCCCGCGCCGCCTTGCCTCCGCTGCCCTCGGAACGGATGCCTGCTGCAAAGATTATTTGATAAAAACTTGGTTTCTGGAGGAATGGCGCCCTGTTGCTGCGGCAGGGGGTGGTGAGTGGCAGTGCTTGGGGCTGGGCTGATGCTTCCAGTGAGCTCCGCTCCATCTCTGCCAGCAGCGAGGGGAGGCAGCCCGTGGGAGAAGGGCAGAAAGCAGCGTGTGAAGTCTCTCCAAACTCGGGGAGAAGGCCGGGTTCCAGTGTGGTTCGGGTCTCCCTTGGCCGCAGGACAGCAGATTTCCATTGGTCCCACGGGGGCAGAGTTGTCGCTGTGGACAGCAGGTCTGGCTTACTCCAGAGCAGAACTGAATCCACACTAACTTTCAAAACATGGTTTTAGACGTGTTTGAAGCAGTGGTGAAATGTTTGGCTTAATTTTTTCCCCCTAAGACGCTGTTCAGGCTGCCTTAGGAACTGTTGGGGACCACGTTTACTAAATTGTTTTCTTAATTGTGTTGCTTAGAAGTTCAGTTTCGGATATAATAATTGCAGTCTCCTAACCTGAACTGTCACCCAACAGAGTGTAGCAGAATCTCTTGAAATTCTCTTTTGTAGAGCCAATGAAAAATTTCATTTGTTTTTTGTATGGAAGAGAGTTTTGTAGTAATGGTTTAAAAGTATGTTTAGGGTTAAAAAAAAAAAGGCTAACAGGTCGATACATCTGTTCCTTTAAAAAAAAAGCATTCTCAATTTTTGAGACATCATAAATATGTAGATGAGGCCTCTTTAATTACTGCCTAGGGCTATAAACTCTCCATGCTAGAGGGAGGGAAGAATGAAGAATAATTTTTTTTTTTTTTTTTTTTTTTTTTTTTTTTTTTTTTTTTTTGGGTAAGAGAATGAGACTGGGTCTTTACCTCAGAAAAGAAAGAAGAATGGGGGTTTTTTATTGTTGAATTACCAGAAGATGCTGGGAACACTTCTTTTTTTATTTATCCTTCTGGATGAAGTTAGCATGTAGGGCAGTAGTGTGCAACCTTTCTAGCTAATATGTGCACCAAACAGAGGGAATTTGTTACAAAGCACCAGGAAAAATTCCCTTCTCTATCCTCCTCTGCCAGTACCCTTAATCCTGATCAGCAACATCCCCTGCTGTCTCTTGAGCTGCTCGCAGTCCTGAATCTCAGCGTGCTGTCTAATGCAGGGACACCGCAGGCCAGCCAGGGACCCTGCAAAGTCGTTTTCACTTGTGACCTGCTAAGTGCACAGCACTTAACCGAAGTCTGTCCTTATTCAGCCCTAATGGGCTTTCTATATCTTAAGTACTGTTATTTTCAACTAAGGTGATCTTGCTGCTACTTTTAAAATAGGATGAGATTGAGAGAAAGGGCATTTTTTTAAGTTTCAGGAGGTGAATGTGCATGTGGGGAACGAGGCTAGAGTACTGCAATACCCATGTAGTAGGTATACTTGAAATTTAATTCTGCTGTTAATTTTCTTCCAGCCAAAATGGTCTGGTGTCAAAATGCTTATTCTACGGTGGTGAAATTTCTGATCTCTATGATAATTTTCACTTTCCATGTTTAATCTTTTAATTCTTGCTGAGGCCCATGAAAGAGTAATTTCCAGATAATAATGATTTCCCACTAATAAGCTCTGTGTTTTTTATAGCAGAAATTACTTAGAGCCAGTATGCTCACTGAAAAAAATTACTCTATTTGATGCTCTATGATGTGTCTGAGAGAAAGATAAAGATGAGTCTTGTGGCGGTGAGGCAGGGCATTTCAAATACAAAGCCTTGTGTCATTGTGTGTGATGAGGCTTCACGTGTACAGTTTTGGCTGTTTGGTTCATGCACCAAATGTTAGCTGTGCAGGGGACTTGGTGGGCTGAGGGCCATCTCTTGACCAGGAGAGAGTAAATGAGACTGGGCTGTGGAAGTAGCAAACTGTCAGCACTAAGGGCTGGTGGGTGATTGTCCATCCATGCCATGAGGGAGAAGGGGCAGAGGGAGCCTGGCAGGGCAAGAACTGAGCCATAGAGCTAATGATGTGGGAACAAGTGGAATTGAGCATGGAAGTGGAAATTCTTCTAGCCCGCTAGGGAAAAGGGTGGGTGTTAGAGAGTTCTTTTCTATGAGAGCCATTGGGTTTTAAAACCAGAACTATTTTGTAGACTGAATTTGATCAGTTTATTACAGAATTGTGTGCCATGCCTGTGTAGGAGAGTAGGGAATTGCACTCCCAATCCTGCCTTCAAGGGCCTCATCAGGCTCCTGCTCAGTTAGGTGAGTTACTTTTGTATATTCTGCCCTTCTGCTTTTCCAGACAGGCTTTGGGAAGCTGTGCCATGTGGGAGAAATGGCAGTTTGGACAAGTACTATGGTAAACTGTGGCTCAGGAAGCTGATAGCAACCTTAGCTTTTATTTATGGTTAACTGTAAGGCAGTGAACTGGAGTGGTATTACATGTGTACACGTGAAACAGTGTAATTCAAAAATGTCATGACTTTCTTAGAAAAAAAGGTGCCTCAGTTTGTATGTCTTCAATTTTTTCCACAGACATCTATGTGCTTGTATATGTATTTGTTTTCAGTGTGCCCTTCTCCATCTGTGCTGATGTTCAATTAAAATGCAGATAATGTGTCCTAGCTTGTAAGATGGATCACTGGTGAAGTACTGTCATGTCTAGGCTAGCTTATCTCTTGATAAATACCTCTGGTGTCCACTGAGAGATTAACTTCATGACTACTGATGTCTGTTTGGGGGTCTTACAGGCAGATGAGACTGTGTAACTGGCTTTTAATAAAATATGTCAATTTATGTTTGCTAGAGGACCTTTGGATGGTGCTTGCTATTGAGAAGGTGGCAGTGACATAATCAAAATATAATACTTGCACGTGAAACTGGCTCTTCTGTTTAATATGTATTATAATTTATTGATAGGAATGGTTTATTGAACCCTCTTGTTTCTAGAGCTTGGAGGTGAGGAGCTTGAGCTGCTGTTCTAAGGCCTCATTTAGTTGTCTAGCAGAAAAGATTTCTTCCCCTGAGTCTAATCCAGCAGGAGCCACAAAGGAACATTATCAGCTAGGTACAGAACTCTTGGGTGGTTTGGGTGTGTGGGATGTGCACGGATCTGTGGTCTGGGGTCTGTCTCGTTGTGAGAGCTGTGTAATGAAGGTTCCCACCACAGGGAACACTCTGCTCCTCAAGGGGGTTGAGTATGGACAGTGCTGGAATTGTTTAACTGAAGAGATGTTGAGTCGTGTACCAGAAGTGGTGAACGGCCAGCTTCTCTAACCAGACAAGTATCTGAAAAAAATTGCTCTCTTACGTGTGTGGAGGGAGTGGAAAACAGTTTTGTCATGAACAGTGCTCCAAATAACAAACCACTCAGTGCCACTGAAGAGGTTCTTGAGGGAGAGGTTTCTGTGCAAGACTGGGACCTTGCTTGTGCTACTATGAAGTTTGGCATAAATAGGGTATTTGGGTATATATATTTCTATGCCCACTCATTTTTCATGAACTCGAAACACTACTCTGAGCCCGAATTTTTATTTTCTTTTTTTAAGTTACAGACGGACCTAGAGTCTGCAGGCCGAGTTTTTCCAGAAGTAACAAGTAGTTTGTTCAGTTATAGATACCTGAATGAACACAGTTTTTCTAGAAGGAAGCTCTTTGCTCTGAAGATTAGGCCTATTCCATATATTTATTCTAGGTTGTGCATCTGGACATTTGTCATACTTAAAGTCTGGGCTGTGTTGTGGATCCCAGTCCTTCCTGCTCTGTCATCTTGGCCATTTCAAAGGCTCATCAAATAGATTTGCTAGGTGAAGGAGAGTCCAAAAGCAACCTGTTGCTTTTATTTTCAATCCAGAAATTCAGGACACACATTTTGTGCTATTTTTGGCCATGTAATACTCTGCTGTATCTGATTCATTTAATATTTATGGGAGGTATTTTCTGTTAGAGGAAGATTAGGAAGAATCCCCATGCCTGTGTCCTTGCAAATGCCCCACTGTCATTGTTATTTGGATTAGTATTATTTTATCTCACAGTGTGCTCAGGAGTTTCTTGCAAGCAGCTCTGTTCAATTGTTCAGGTGGTGGAAATGTATGGACCATATTCAGTGATGTTTATTGTCCTTTTTGTCTTGCAGATCGAGGGATTTTAATGGCTTTCAGGTAGAAGAAAGTGGAGACAATCAAAATGAATTCTATGGACAGGCACATACAGCAGACCAATGACCGGCTGCAGTGCATAAAACAGGTAAGCGGAAGGTGGGGGTCAATGCTGCTGACTGAGGGTTGGGTGTTGTGTGGCAGGTGTTGCATATCACAATTACCTGTTGCTTAATGAGTGTCCTTGCCCTTCAGAGGGAAGGAATGAGACACACTAATCCCATTGAAGAGAGTATCTGCCATGAGAGCTGGTGTATTAACCTCAAAAGCCAAACTTTCCCGTGCACCTTTCTAAGAACTCTTTAGCCTGGAGACTGAACAAATTGTCTCAGCTGGAAGCAGAGTGGTGCTCGTCCTGCCAGCTTGGCCCCGGAGGGTCACAGCGGGCGGCTGTCATTCTGAGCTCTGAGCACAGTAATCCACAATTCCAATGGGCCAGTTTTTATTTTAATCCAGTAGCTGACCTTAGACCTGCACTGTCTGGAGACTCAGAACTTGGATGGTTGGCACGTCTCCAAGTGCTCAGAGTGCTGCTTAATCAGTTTGCATGGAGATTGTAAAAAACTTCTGATTGCGAGGTAAAATTTTCAGAAGCATCTGTTTGTGAAGATGAAGGGCTCTTCATATGCCACTGCCTTTCAGTGAATTATGTCTCATTTCCCCACTGTAACTGTGTATAAAAGCTTGCAAATGCTTTTATAACCGAGTGAAATTAAGACAGCAAGGATGCAGAGACTTTTTTTCCTGCTTTACCCTCGTCAGTGAACTTTTCTCTCCAGGGTTGCAGGCAATGTGTATTCTTCCCTCAAGTGTGTTCTTATCCACATGCAACAATCCTAACAGAATTTTCATAGCCATGGTCCTTTTAGAGGAGGTTAGCAAGAGAATGGTTTTTCATGTTGGTTTTTCCTGTGTTTATCTCTAAATCAATGCATGCATGCAGCAAACAGGTGAATAAATGCAAGTTGCACACAGATATTTTCAAGATCCCATCTGGATTCAGGTGATGAGCTCCAAAGTTCATCTCTTCAAACTGGTTGCAATTTTATGAATTACATTGGAAAAACAGAAACTTGTTATTCCATGAAATAATGTTCCCAAATAATTTTTCACTCTTGTCTGGGCAGTTTTGTTTGTCAGATCGGGTCACAGCAGAGTTCTGCTGCTTTAGTTTTTTGTTTGTATTATCTAAGTTAAAAAACTGCCTGCCTACTTATGCCCTAGGACATATGCATATTGCTTCTTGAGGCAGCACAGTATTTCTCTGTTCATAGGTTTGTGTTGTAGACACAAGCACCCTAAATCAAAGGAGCTGATAAAAAAAGATAAGTGTGGGGCTGGTACTGGATGAGTACTCTGGATTTTTAAATTTATTTCTTTGATGACAACTTCCTCAATAGAAGCAGCCAAGGGGAAGTGCTGATCTGTCTGGTGAGCAGCAGTAGGACACAGGAAAATGCAATGATGCTGTGTCAGGGGAAGTTCAGCCTGGATGTTAGGATAAGGCTCTTTACTGAGAGGATGGTCAGTCACTGGAACAGGCTGCCTATGCAAGTGGTCACAACACCAGTTCTGTCAGAGTTAAAGGAACATCCAGATGATGCTCTTAGTCACATGATTTAATTTTAGCTAGTCCTCTAAGGAGCAGGAAGTTGGACTTATTATTACTTGGAAGTCCCTTCCAACTTGATATATTCTTTGATTCTAGAAGAATGTGTTTATCTTCTCTTAGTTTTATCAGTCTCCATCATTACGTTATTATAGCTTTGCCTAGATATTATTGGAAATTAATATTTTCTAGAATGTGTTGTAATGCAGGAATATGTGGGTTTTTGCAAGCCTGGCATGCTTTGGGTGATACAGACAAAGATTACAGCTCACACCTAAATCAGATGATTTTTCTCTCCGTATTTCCTTTATAAGAGAGGGTTTCAGAATGAAACAAACAAAGCTAGTTCGTAGGTCAAGGAGCAGAAATAGGAATCTTTTCCTGCAGAATTGCTGGTCGTGATCCATCCTTGCTCTGTGGTGTCTCTCTCTTTCATCACTCTGCAGTGAAAGTTAATGTATCTAATGGCCCTTCAGAGGCCTGAGGCAAATACGAATTTGAGGATTTCATCCCAGTTTCTTATGAACAGCTATCTGGTTCAGAAAAAACATGCCCTTGACTGGTACAAATTGGTATCCTTTTCGGCCATCCTAGCCCATAGGATGAAGAATGAAGGTTAAATTGCAGAACAATTTAACCTTCTAGCTGTAAGAACAGACCTTTACATCAAGTGGAGACAAATGGAAGATGCTGCTCAGCTCCTTTTTCTAGAGCTGTCAGTTTCTGTACATAATTTATATTATTTTAATTAGATAAGAGAATATCAAATTACACTTCTTAAAGTTTTAAAGAGATAATTTTGCCTATGTAATGGGTACTCTGTCAGTTAAACCACTAAGTTCATTTATACGTACTGCTGTTTTGCATATGCAGCTTGGATGGTTCTTCAGTGATGAAGGCTGGGGGAAGGGAGGAAGGTCAGGCTGCCCAGAATTTGTGTAGCACTCTTTGTTTTCTTTGATCTTGGAAGAAAGCTTGGGTTTTTTTGGTAGACCAGGAGCATGCTTGTGTCAGAGCTCAAAGGATGCCTGAAAGGAGATATCCTACTTGGGAATGCTTATGAATTCATGGTTCCCCCATTCTGTTTAAGGCCCAAATAAAAGAAGAGAGAAGAAAACCCTTGTTTTCAACTCATGATGTACTGTAGTTAACTAAGACAGTGGCTGAACACCAAAAATATATCTCAGAAAGCTTTTTTTTTTTTTGTGCGAGTGGCACTACTTGTAGTTTTGTTGGAGAGTAATGACTGATTTTTTTTTAAAAAAAATTGTTTTGTTGACTAAAGTAGCATCAAACTGCTGTTTGCATTTTCATAGTTCCAAAATCTTGTGTGTTGTCTTTGCTGTAGTGGAGAAAGAGACAGAAACTAATTGCCTGTTTGAAAGACACTCAACTCTCTGTCACAGGGTCATAAATTTCCAGCTTGAGGACATTTACCTTGTTCTTTGAGACAAGTCATTAGCTGGCAAATAGTAAAAAGTGTAATTTCCATTCACCCATTGAGAGCTGGACCACACAGTGCTCTGTGCATGTTGAGTTTGGGAGCAAAGCACTACCTTGCATGGCCATATAAATGTATCTTCACCTACTCTGGGGATTAACTGCAGGGTCAGATAATAATGTGTCTGCCTTTTCTTCTGGTCTCGTCTGTTATCCTCTTTTCCCAGACTGTGAACAAACAGTGCCGCAGTTCTCCTGAGCACACATGTGCTTTTGGGGTGGTTAACACAGCAGTGGTGTGGAAGGTGTGCTGCAACAGAGGGAGGAAAACCATCCTTCCTTGGAGCTCAGCATCTGCAAGTTTTGTAACCCTGCTGGCAGCCAGACTGAGAGCTGTCTGCCCCTCACTCCAGCCCCTGAGAAATGCTATAAATGGTAATCCATGTGCCTCTTTAACTAGATCAGGTTTCAGCACAGGGTCAGGACAGGCTTCTTTCTTCCCAGCTCTGTGGCTTGTGAGACACCCACAATATCCTTGCTGACTTCTGTTCCAGGATCAAGGTTGTGTTTTACCTTCATCTTTTTTAGTGCTTTAAAGCTACAAACCCAAAACTTGTACATGATCAGCTAGTTGGGAAATGAAGTGTGTGTTAAGAAGTGTTTCAGAATAGATGAAAGGGCAAACTGAAGAGGTGGCTGTGTATTTATGCTTAAAAAAACCCCAGACTTCTGTGGAAGGCTGGAACAGCTTGTGTGGTCTCTTTGTAGCCGATTCCCTTAGTATTTGTAAGTGTGTGTGCTTTAAAATCAAACATAGCTTTTTTGATGTACAGTGGAAAAAGCCAAAGTAACAGGCTTTCCTTAGCACATGCAATTAGTTTGTCATGACACAGGAGACTCTTCAGGGTACACTGGAGGAAGCTGGATGTTCAGGGCATAGGTTTTTTTCTTTAAGTCTTTTTCCATACAGACAAAACCACAAAATTACTTTTGTGCAGAGCAAGGGTCTGATGGCCCCTGAGAATTCCCTGCCATATTTGAGGCTGCAGTAATAATCTGTTTATCTGCTGAGGGCTCATGGCTCAGGTGGCTCTGGCACAATGTCCATGGAGCTGTGGGGCAGCAGGAGCAGGTTCAGGCGGGCGCAGAGCTGAATTTGAGAGCTTCCTTGCTGCCTGCTGCCCAGGCACAGCCTTCTGAAGGAGCCAGCTTGGCTCCTGCTGCATAGAAAATCCCAGTAAAAAATTGACTGGGTTTCTTAAAGCATTCTTCATAGGAGTCCAGAGGTGTGAGTTTAACCAGATGCTGCCCATTCCTTTTGTTAAGTGATAGTAGCAAATGCCAGGGAAAATCAGTGCGTTGGGTAACATCTCTCTACTCTTACTGTAATGGGTCTTCTTCAAAAACTTGGAGCTGTTCTAGGGACTTCTACCCTTTATGTCTCTGTTTGCTGTCAGTCAGTTTTGTGAGGTTTCTGTGTGTTTCTTCTGAAATTCTTGCAAAGAAGTAGATGAAAAGAAAAACCTTTCTAAATTGAAATTACAAGGAAGCCTCCCCTTTCAGAAAGGGTGTGTGATATCTTCCTGCTAGGCTGAGTACAGTTGTTAGGCTCTGTACCAAAGCTGTGTTGAAATGTTAGTAGCAGGTTAAGGAGAAGTGTGAAAAGGTTCTCTGGTGTCAAAAGTATTAGATCATGGTGGGAACAGAGCAGGTTGGTTCTGCTGCTTGTGTCATGCTACATCAGGGCACACTGAGCAGTATCATCAAATGGTGCTGATACACGTCACACAGCTGATTTCCAGAAACTGATTAGCATTTCTCCCCTCTTTCCTTCCAGAAGGCTTGCTGAATTGCTGCCTTGCAATGCTTTTTAGTGACTACCCAGCAATTCAGAGAGATAGGCTGAAAGTTGTAATTGCTGTGTGTTTGTGTTGATATTTTCTTGCTCAAAAAACAAGCAAGCCCATTTCTTTCATCACTCAGCAGCTAGGTTTTTGGTAGCTTACAATTCAGAGGAAAATAGAATTCTTTGTATATTT